AACTTTGAAAGCACAACTCATTTTTACACAGTAGTCTATAGCCTGTTACAAAGTCTGCAGAGATCATTACTGTTACACTTTAGTGTTCTGCCACGTAATGTATTGGTTTTTGATTGTGTGGGTTGTCGTCCGTGTCCGTGTCCCCCCCCCCAACCCCGCTCCCATGTATGGATCTGTGATTTGGGAGCTGTTGTCTTGCTCTTCAGTAGTCCACCTTGCAAGAGTTCCGGTCAGGGACTGAGACCCTGGCGTGCCAAGTAAAACCAGAAAGTCAAGAGAGCAGGTTTAATTTTTTTTTTTTTCCCCCCCCCCCCCTTCAGTGGGAGATGTATTTCTGAGCAGTGTTATATGTTAACAGGAAGAGCTTTGGATGAAAGATAGGGCACCTGTTGCCTTATGGAGGGCACTCCCTTCAGCTGTCTTTGGCACCTGTACCCCACTGAAACTGGCATGGTATCTTCTGAGTGGGCACCATGTCAGACTAGCAGATGGGCTGGAGCAGGATCTTGCCAAAAAACAGTTTGTGCATCAAGTTTTAAATATTAGAGGCCTGGACTCCCATCTGAGAGTGCTGTAAGAGCAGACCATGCATAGCTTTTCTGCCTGGGGTTAAAGGATGTGTCATACCTATTCCAGCTTAGAGTAATTAACTTTGAAAGTCAAACAGTGGCTTCCATTGCTGTGGAATACAAAACTTTGGCTCTAGTGAATCAAGGTTAAGGTTTCATAGAAAGATGAGTAAGAAATATGGTGACTTTTCCTACCAGAACTAAATGTTCTTAACTTGGAGGCATTTGCAGTTATCCGCAAAACAGTTTAGTGGTTGAGCACCATTTTCTACTGAAAATAGTTTAGTTGGGTCTTGTGGAAGATGGTTTCACAAGCACAGTACAGAGGGCTATGTATATGTAATTTGTATAATAAAACTCTGCATTCATAAATCTACCTAGAAGAAGAGTCTAGGGAAAAAAAAACCTATTCATAAACACTGCTCCGAAGAGAGCCTGTCCAGGAAATGATGATGCATCTTTAAAGTAATAATATGAGCAGAGAAGCAGGTCTTCCTTAGGCTATGTTAAAAATGGACTGTAAACGCCCTTCAGGCACTGAATGTTTCAGTTCTTGGGAAATATTGGATATTGTGAAGGTGGGGGGGAAAGCAATGTGCTTTGTTCTTCTTAAATATTTGCCTTAGTACCCTCCATATGTAGGAAATACTTGAAGTTGTGGGTTAAATAGCAGATGCTACTTTTTATTTGTGTACATTTTGATTTTAGTAACTATATTTCTGCAACTTGGATTGTTTTTTATTGTTAGATGCTCTGAGCAACAGTCCTCCCCAGTTGTTAGCCATTGAATTTAACAGCTCTTGGCTTGACTTAAACAGGGTCAGAATTTTTCCAGCTTTTTTTATAGGTAGCCTGTAACTTCAAAGCGTGGTACTCTAGAGGTTAGTTTTTATTTCTGCAAAAAACGAAGCTGACAATATCGCTCATTAGGATTAGTTAACGAATGAAACAAAGCAAAAATAACATACTAGCAACCCAAGAACTTCTGAAAATAATTTTGTTCATGTTTCCCAAACAAATATATCCTCAAAATATCCAGCAGTGGCAAAGACACCAGCTGTGGACAGGAGCAGGGATGTTTTTTCAAGCTGCCAAATCAATGCTGTTTTCTTTTCCACTGTGTAAACTTTGTCAACAAAACTGGTTCTGTGAGAGCCATTGAAAATATTTCACCATATTCCAAATGTGACTGCCACAAATTAACTGCTAAAACTACAACAAGCACGTTTGAACTGGCAAATAGAATTGGCACATTTCTTTGTCAGACTGCATGCAATTGTGCTGTGTGGTTGTAGGAAATCGCAGTTCATCCAGAAACACTCTTTTGTTACCATGTCATATTAACATTTAGAAAGCTACATTAATTAAGGTTGTGGCACTCAGCAACGAAACGGATGAAATTCACGATTAAAGTGGATGATAAGACCATAAATGCTGTGCCTGGGTGAAACTAGGGAATTCTGGACATGGGTTAATTCGAGGTAAGTTATTTGCTGTGTTGTGTAGGCATAACAGTTGGAAATTGTGGCAAAGAATGTGAACCTTACTGCACTGCTTTATTTCAGACTGTATTTTAAATTTGGATGCTTTTCACTGGCATGGTAGCTGCGATTGTGGGATGAAGGGGAGGAAGGGAAAATAGAGCTGTGCCCTTTGCCCTTTGCAAATGTTTTGTGAGACTCATCTTGGCATGAGGTGGAAACAGCCACAGCCCGCTACACAGCTTCATCTTGTGCCAGCGTTCCCAGTTAACAGTTATGCAGACAATGGTTTTGATTGTGTGCATACATCAACACCTCTCCCCCCGCCCCCAGATGTAAGGAGATTGTGCATCTCTAGTTGATAAAAGCAATGTAAACTGTAAACTCTCACGCTTGTTATGCTATTTTAAGATATCCTTTGCAAACATAATCTCGCCATATAGTGCTCCTGGTACTCTGTGTGGGTACTTACATGCCATCAGAGACCTCCTGCCTATCAGCATTGCTCTCCTGCAGGGTCTCTGCTTACTGTCCTGCAGTCTAGCATTTAACTGATTGTAATATTATAAATAGCCGTGTGCTACCACACAGAACGAGGCTAGCACATGGCTAATTACGAGTATACAGTAATTAACTATGAGCTAAACTCGCAGGAGAGTATGTGGTGGTGGTCTATGAGGTATGTAATCAGACTGTTTGTTAAACCTTGGGAGCCTTTCCAGTCTGTTAAGTAACTATACATAGTAATGAGACAATTTTTTAAAAACCATTTATGTATATTTATGGACAAAAAATAGTCTGTCTTATTTCTAAGCTGCGGTTGAAATATTGCTGCCTGATATATGAACGGTTAATTAAAAAGATGTAACAAAAGGTATAGAGGCAACTTCAGCTTACGTGTATGTATGTGATTACTGTCGTAGCATTATCGAAGAACTTTCGTGTTATTCGTTGTGAGTGTTATGCCTTGTTTCATGTATGTGCAGTAATAACAATACTACCATTTCTCCTTTTGTAGATTTGAATGTCATGTTGCTCATTTTGTGGAGCACCTGTTCCTCTATCTTGTTGAGCTTTGTCTGACTTGTCTCCCTTTTCACATTGTAACGATAGCCACTTAGTTTTAGTTTTATTTTAATTTTTCTTCAGGGTGTTCTTTCAGTGTGACTCCGAAAAGCATCCATGCTGGCATAGTGTAAGAACCATGGGGGTTAGGCCCTTTTGCTGGGCTACCTCCCGTTAATTGCTCTTCTTCATTACCCTGACAGCTGTGACTGTCTGTTCCAGATTACCAGGAATGAGGCCTCTCTTTATAAAATGTCAAGATGTCTATAGGGAAGTTAGATCAGACTCCTTCAAATACATTTAAATTTGATACTACTCTATACCTATCAAAGCTCCGTTAAGTAACTTGGTATTAAAATACAATGTCTTATACACGGGTTCTTTTCTGATCTGTGTCAGTAAGGGAGCACACCTAATTCTGTTTGGGTGATGTGATGTTGTGGAATCCAATGAAAACACATGGGATATGTTCCTTTAAACTAATGTCTCCAGCTATTAACACATAGTCTACATGTGGCAGAGAAAGATAAAGACTTAAGCACCTGTGCCTTAATTCCCAGTTCAGTACAAGAATATGGTGAGAACAAAGCTTACCAAACTTTCCTTCCAGGTTGTGTGATAGTTTTAATTGTATTCTGAATGTGACTGCTACTCATCTGAGTCTATGAATAGTTCACACGTTCCAGAGCTACTGTTTTAGGATATGTTCATTTTATCTTAATGTGTTATTAGCACAGAAGCATTCACATGGGGAAGTGCCAAGCAGAAGGCAGTGGGGACCCTGCGGGTGTTTGGGGTATGTGTGCTGCCAGGTTCAACCCACATGCCGAATAGAATTGAAGGAAAATAGCAGCTGAAGGAGTCTGTTCATTGTAAAAACATTTTTATGCCCTGACCATCAAAAAATGTAAGCTTGGATGGTTTGATCAGATCCAAGTTTACTTGATTTTTATTATGCGGATAAAAGTAGTCTATTTTTGTGTGTGCTGATAGTTGAAGTGTTTCACACCTGGACTGTTGTTGGTATTTGATCATTATAAGAAGTTTGAAAGGGACACTTATTTCCTAGGAACTGTATTCTTTTTAGTTTTTTTCAGTGATGATTCTAAAAGATGATTTAGTCTCATTAAATTTTAATCCCAGTGTAGCTCCCTGTAGCCTCAGTAGTATCAGAGAGAGCTGATAGTTCTCTCAGGGTCAGAAGAAAATAGGATTGCATTGTCTGTGCAGAGAGGTTCTGTCTCCTGGGCTGTAATTGGCACATGTGGTCAATTATTGTTTTGAAATCTCTGCTTGCACTAAGAGGCACAATCCCTCATCTCCCCTTTAGGCAGGTGGTGGCTGTGCTATCCCTAACTTAGGCCAGTGTCTAAATAATGTCAGAATAGAAATCAAGGTTCTAGGGCCAAATTAATTTGTAATAGAGGAAAGCAGACAATCCTGTCTAGAGGCATAATGTAGGTCATAACTTTTAAGTGGTGTCTTTGTCACGACAGTGGATTGACAGCAACCAAATACAGAGGTTATCCAATTGACTGGAATGACTTAAACATAGTTGGTTATAATGGAATACCTCATTGTGGTGCAAACGTGCAGTAGGGACATCCTGCTTACTCCTTAATTAGCATTGAGGGAGAGAGTTCTGAAAACGTGGGTTAAAATTGCTTCTGTACTTGTTGATTAAAACTTGTGTGTGTGTGGTTTTCGTTTTGTTTTTCTTTGAACTTGGCAAAATTCTGACCTCCAAAAGCAGGAATTCAGACAAAATATTGGCTGGCTTTGTCATGTATTTTTTTGATCACTCTATGCAATGTTGGCTTGGTATTTGTTTGCAGTTATATTTTGTTGCATACATCTTGATCCCCATCTCTTTCTCATTTTGCAGCTTCCCCTCAAACTCATGTTCCTGTAGAAGATGATGCAGTGCATGTAATTAAAGTGGTAATGTGCAGATCTCATTTCTAAATTGTTAACTTGTATGCAGTTCTTTCTCTTAATTATCTACCCTTATTTTCAGCATTGAGTCCATATTGCATGCTTGCAACTTTTTGGTTTTTTTCCTTATTTTTTTATATCTTGATATACTTTCCCTGCTTGGGGATATATTTGGCATTTCCGTGACACACAGTATTCCCTCGACTGGATTCTTTCCTTTCCTTGATTACTGCCCTCAACAGTTTAGTAAGGAAGATCAGACTATGACCTTGAACACACCTGATTTACAATATTTCTGAAAATAGTATCTTAAATAATTCCTGAAAGAATCTGCGTTGTTTATGGAAATGTGTTGCCAAACAACTTTTCTTTTTAGCTGCTTACTAAAATTACATTTCAGATAGCATGGTATATGGGAGGTGGGAAAAAAGATGGGTTTCACCCTCTTTGAATTTCTCGTACACTTTTCTTTAGCAACTGTTGTCTTTCTAATGCATTTTTTTGATACTAAGTTTATTTATTTATCAATAGGAATATCTTGAAAATGGCCCCTTGTTTTCTGAACTGAAATTTTACCAGAGGGCTGCAAAACAAGAGCATAGTAAGTAATATATCAGTTCTGATTTGCATAGATTTAAGGACAAGTTTGAGTTTAACTACTTCTGACAAGAACTGTTGCTTTAGAGCTTGATAGCCAACTCATTTCATATACACTGAATTAATCCTAGTTAGTGCTATAATAATTTTAGATTGCTGTAGGTTTCTTCACTTGGATGTCATCCTTGCCCTTTCTGATCAGGAGGGAGAACAGAAGTGTGCCAAACTTATTATGTGCACGCTTCAGAGTGCACAACAACGAATGGACTCCAGAGAGAGGCCAGCCTTAGAACAGAGGTACTATGTGGACTAATTGGTGACCATATTTCTGCTAGTAGCTATTTCCATGTACGGAGCTAAGTGTGTGTGTAATCATCACAGGATTTAGTAGTAATCAAGGCACTTCATTCTGCAGGCACTTAAGCATGGATGTGATTTATTCATAGGAACTGTCCTAAAGACTTTAGATGACTTAGATTGCTGGTAGACATAAGCACTTGTGATAGCTTGAAGCATTCTGTATTGAAGAAAGTAGAGCTTCTAAAGGAATTATTTCTTCAGCTATTGATAATTGCTTATCTGCCTTCTAAGGGAACGAAAGTACCACATTGCTAGAACAAAAAGCCGCTTCTTGTTTAGCGAATGTAGAGAGCTTCACAGTAAAGTTATAGTCTGAATTGTTTGCTACACAAACTGCCAAGTAAGTCCTGTTTGTTTCATTCAAAGTCTTGGCTCGATAAAAACAAAAACAACAACAAAACCCACACCAAATTTGAAATTATCTAGCTACCTTTAACCCAATGTTATCTTTTTATTATTATTACAGTAAGAAAATGGATGAATCTCAAAAAAATAAGATGTTTAGGAATCCCAGTGTTTTGGGGATCAGGCTTGGCTGAGTACAAGGGAAAAAGGTAATAAAATGAATTGTAATTAAGCCTCAAATTGACTGAAGATCCATTTTCAACAAAATGGAGATAAGTCCTTTCAATATGATCCAAACTTGCAGTCTTGCCTTAAAGGATTCTTCCCTTTTATATATTTCCTGGTAGCTATAGATTCATGGTCATGGAGAGACTGGGGGAAGACCTTCAAAGAATATTTGAAGATTGTGGAAGCAAATTTAAGAAGGAGACCGTTCTGCAACTGGGGGCACGAATGGTATGTACAGAGAGAGGAAATTGCTGTGTCTCGAACTTGCTGAGTTCAACTGGAAAATTATCTTTCTAATACAGTTCCTTTAGGTAGCTCTTGAGTTTAGAATTAAACAGATGTAAATGCTATCTATTTTCTTATTTTTCATTTTTTTTTTTTTTTAAATAAAATGTAAGTAGAAAATCAAGACCCCCTGCAGACTGGAAGTTGGTGGGCTCAAACCAAAATTTTTCCTAATAAGTTAAAACATAGACCATACACTTCAAAATGTGTGTCTAGACTGAGATGTGTAAGCCTATTCTCATATGCTTTAACATGTATTGATTTTTTTTTTTCCCTCAGTGTCTGAAAGGTATTGTATTAGACACTCATATTTGTCGAAGTTCACAATTGCATGCCTGAAAGCAAAATTTTCAGTGTGTTTGCTGAACACAGGGATTGTACAGGCCAGGATTAGGCTAGTCTGCAAATATCAGTTTTGTTTCCACATGTGTGTAGACTGGCATACGCTAACAGAAGATTGTATATGTGCTCCTTTGTAACATCATTTGTGTTGTGAAAGACTGCTATTACGGAACAGAGGTGCACAGCAAATGGAGTAGAGGCAATGGTCATAAGTTGCAGGAAGAGAAATTCTGAGTGTAAAGGAAAAGTTTCCACAGAAACAGTGTCTTAGCACTGGAACATGCTTCCCAGAGGCTGTGAAACGTCCATCTTTGGGGACTTTTACAACTTAACTATTCAATCTCCTGTACAACCTGATCTGACTTACATTAGTCCTGCTTGAAGCAGGGGGTTTAGACTGGACACCTTGAAATTTTCCTTTTAACCTGAATAATTAAAAGACAAGTGAAGGGCTTTTGTAGTCACATAATTGACAAACTTGTAACAGTCTTTGTACACTCCAAAAGCCAGCCTTAGTTTGTTCTTTGTATGAGTTGCCAAGTGCAAACATGTTTTTTAATAACAATTAGAACTGTCGTACCTCAGTAAGGAGCTGAAGAAGGACAATGATGCAGGGGGATGATGACATGAAATACAGGTCATATAATAACTGGCAGGATCAAATATATTATAAACCTTCAGGGTGGATCGAATATGTTCTTTTTAAGAGCTTAGTGTTCTCAACATTTTCTCCAGCGTTTGTAAAGTACTAGTTCCATTCTTGCTTTGTGACCTTAGCAGCTGGTACTGGTAGGTAGTTACACAGGGATACCTCATGGCGCAGTATGGCTTGTTTATGATTTGCCATCAGCTATGTGCCTGGTGGGAACAGACCCTGTGGCCGGAGTGGGTACTCCTTGTGCCCTAACTCAAAACAAATTTGTCAGTTCAGTCTGTGTAGCCCTTGATTTCACTGTATAAGAGAAATATTTGCTGGTCGGGTTAAGGGCCGAGTGGAGATGATGATATTTTCTTTTCTGTTCTAAATCCTTTCCTAGTTGGATACTTTGGAATATGTACATGAAAATGAGTATGTTCATGGTGACATTAAAGCAGCAAATCTACTTTTGGGTTACACCAATCCCCACGAGGTAAGTGTGTTTACTTATGTACACTGTTACTCTAATGTATTTATAACTGTTTAATAGTTTTAAGTGACATATATTCTGTATTAACAATTCATGTATTAAAAGGTGTTTGTGCATGAACATTCACATCCTGTCACGACAAATCTGCAACTGGCTCTATGGAGCTTAAGGTCTGAGAGAGCAGCAGGACAAAAGTCTGCTTTGTTCCCTTTGTGCTGTGCTGACTGGGGTACTGGTACGGATGGGTAAACTAATCAAGAGGGTAAGTTAGAGGACCTAATTGCTGTTCTAGGTTATGCCACTTTAAGTATAGTAGTAGAGTTTAAGGATGTGGCCCATTGTATTTTCATTCTTGGGAAGTTCTAGCTTTCTAATATTGTTGTGAATTGTGTTTCCATGACGCTAACTCTTATGTCCTGCTTGTTGTAGTGGATATAACAGGAAAGTAGGATTAAGGTTGCTGCTCTCTAACACTCTAAAGCCTAAAGCTATCTTTGAAAGTGACGTGTTTTGGTGAAATGTTTTGAAACAAATCTTTTGATCCTGTCATATTCCTCATGCTCTTATGATGTCTCTTTTCTTCAGTTAATAAAATCTAAGTATGCTTTTTTCTTGGAAAAAAGATCTTCTAAGAAAAAAGGACATCTCAAACTTTACTTAAATATAATTAGCTGTAAGCAATACTTTTTTTTTTTTCAATTTTTGTTTTTCTGCTGCAGTGATGAAGAAACAGATCTTGCAAAACAGCTCACTGCCATTGGAGGCTGAACAGTTGAACTATATCTGCTTTATTACAAGTTTCAAGTTAAATGGTTGAGTCAAATTTAACTTTTCAGCTTTCTAAGACACATAGTTTAAAAACTATCATGGCTGTTTAAAACAACCGTGTTTTTAGACAGTGGTAGCAGCCAGTACATAATCTGAGTTTATGGTGTTTACCAGCCTGCTGAATCCAAAGAAGGAGGCTATTTAGAGGCAAAACGATCTGCTACCCAAACCCATTAACATAACTCAAATGACTTCTTTTGTCTTGGCTATTGTGTATTTTTATGACAGCAAGATATGCTGCTGTTTTTCACATTGAAATCATTTTGGAAGTGTCCATTTACAGTAATCATAAAATTTTAAGACATGTAGCTGACTTTGATCAGCTGCTTTTGAATTAGCCAGATTGTGGGGTGATTTTCTGGTTTGTTTCTCATGTTGTCTGCATGAAGATCGTGCTATACTAGTATTTTGTTTTCATAAGTAGTAAATTCATTGACAGATTAAAAATAAGGTACTTGTGAGTTACTGGACAGAGGTTTTAGGTGGAATTATAACTTAAGTTTTATTTATTTAATAAAAGAAATCAATAGATATTCCAGTTTAAGTAGCTCCTAGCTCAGCACGTACAAAGTGTATGTTACTGCTGAGAGGTTTTTGTGTAGAATTTTGTTTCAGTAAAATTTCTCTTCCACTGAAATTATTCTATAAAACACTTTAAAAAGTTCACGTTCTAATTCAGAGGTGCTAATGGGAGAGAATTTCTAATATTTGCTTGCACATGTAAGGTATGAATTAAACCTTAATTTCTGTATGCTTAAGAAAACTTAGACCTGTTCAGATATTAGTTAGATAAACTTCCCAGTCACGGGCCCCCAGAAATTCTGCAAGTGGCCACAGGTCTGCCGATTTCACTGAAGCCATGACAACCATACCGTACCAGTCTACAGCCACGTAGACAGTGATGATTATTTCTAAATGTGTTTTAAGGTAATGTGTACTGTATTTAGCTTACACAGCAGGGCAGATGGCTTAATGGGACTGTTTCTGGTGAAATAAAAAAATGTTTTCCAGACACAGCTTGCACAATGTCTTGAAACATGTATGCTCTGTGGCTTGTGGGGCATGAAAAGAAGGAGCAATCTCACGAACAACAGAGCTAAAACTTTCAAATTGGCAGATCTGCATACGCCACTAATTGAATGTCCTTCCCCTGGAATTGTTGACTCTGATGTGCTGTCTGCCCCCATACTTCATTAAATGTTCTTTACCTGGGTTAGGAGCAGTACTAGACAACATTCTCACACAGATTCAGGTATTCAGAACAGTACGTGTGTATTTGCACAGATGATTTTTCATTTGTCATGTCCTGGCTATTTGCCTGTGCCATTAATTTGCATGTAATTTTGCCATGAAAGTTGCTTCTTCCTATTCCAAAAGTGCAGTTCCTACGTAAGACTTATGAGTCTTTTCCAACCTTAACGATTCTATGATCCTATGATTCTATGATGTTGCGATAGCCTTTTCTACAAATCAAGTTCTCTTTATAACATGCTGGTGAGCTGAATGTATTATGTATTTACCAGAACAGTGTTTTGGGAAGCTCTGTGGAGCATTACCACTGACTAAATGTGGCAACAACATGGAATATCCTGTCCTGTATCCTCTAAACTGTTGTCGGAGATGCTGTGTTTTAATTTGGCTATCTCGTACTAACCTTAGACGCTTCAGATAAAACCTCGGACACTGTTATTGCTACCAAATGCCTGTGAAGTGTTTTGTCTTCTGTCTTTGCTAAAAGGGTGGATAGCTAGATTGCCTTGGTCTGTTTTTTTTTTTTTTTTTTTTTTTTAAAACAATGGAACTGGGAGGTAAAGTGATCAAACTAATCTTATAAATAGGGAGTGAGAGCGTCTAGCCAGTGGCAAACTCCAGCTCAGGAATACAGGCTGAGACACCTGTAGCTCCAGTGGGAGTTGGCATAATAAAGCTGTCTGACCTAACAATTTCTGTGGTGAGTTTTTGTTAAGAATTTTATGCTAGTGTGTTCTTGCTCTTTAGGGTCTAGGGTTTTAAGAGAAAATAAATTGGAAGTGTCCTTTAATTGTAGAAATCTGTTTTTAAAAGAAACCCATAACTAATCTCTTAAAAATAAAATATATATATTCAAAATGTATTTCCATATTCTGTTTTGGTGAAGAGACATACATCTCTGTTCAAAAAAGCATGTGTACCTTTATACTCAACTTTGCATTTTTTTTTTTTTTAATCATTTAGTGGCTGTTCATGTGTACTCTTTTGTGTGAATTTGTCACCGACTTCCTGCTGTTCCAAAAAAGATCATTTTTCTATGTTAGACTTTCTGCTGCTACTCTCTCTTCTGTAAATTAACTCAGTAAATGTACACCACAGCCAATAAATATCCTAGTCCCTTTTTTGAAAGAATGTGTGAAATCCATACTGCTGTCCCCTACCTTCTGTGGCAAGGCAGAGAAACAAATAAAGTAAAGGTCCTGTCACTCTGTGACCTCCAAATGATGTTTAGAAATGGTTAGAAGATCAGAATCAACTGACCTCAAAGAGCAGCTTGCTGCAGATCTATTCAATAGAAGGGAGCGAGGCCATTCAGTGAGTTACAGGTCAAAAGATCAATTCTCTAGTCAATATGTTTCTGAACATGGACCCAGCACAATGACTGACAGAACAGGAGTGATATACTGAGGGAAGTACACAGCCCATGAATCTCGAAGAGGCCTGAAAGAAAACTTGAAGTGATCAGACGTATAAATTACAGAACAAGTGAAGCACTGTCTCAGTATTGCGGCGAGTTAAAGATAATTCGGTGCATAGTAGTAACTGTTTGTATGATGAAGCAGAATAAGCATTATTGATACAGATGCTGAAACAGAAATTCAAATCCATTAAACTCATTTAAATTGTGATACTACTAAAAGGGACAAGAGGTCACCAGACAAGAGCTTAAAATCACAGTTTGTAATAAATGAAATAAGGTTTGGAAGAATGCCTCTCCAAAACAATTACCTTGTAGTATTTTCTTTTTTTTTTTTTCCCCCCATGGAATACATGGGCAGACGTGCTGCAGTGTTGCAGACTCAAGTCTGCACCAGAAGTTGCCTATTTGGATTTTTTTAAGCTGTAAATTTTAATTGCATTTGTGCCTCAGTTCTGATTTTGATTTTAAGTGTTTCTTAGACACGATAGTTACAGAATAAAACTCGCAGACTTGATTATCATAGATAGCCTTAACTGAAAAGGAAAAAAGAAGAATACAAAAATGTTTCAAAATGTTAACTTTCACAGCCATCTTTCAGTGGGCCAGCATAGAAGATGCAGAGCTCACGCATTGATTGTGTGGGAAAAATATGCATGAAAACAGTTCCAACTTTCAGCCATTTTTCATTGTGAGATGAATCATTGTGATTCCAGCTCTTTAGTCCAGTATGACGGATTTGCTAAAGAGCAGATGAATTGAGCAAAATGAAACTCTTTTCTGTTCTCCTTCACGTGTTTTTAGGAAGGATACAGTATGCAGCGATGCCATACAGAAACAGTTGATTTTTAACTCATGGATGCTGGCTATGCCCCTGGTCTGAGATGTAGCTTCACAATCAGATGGCCTTAATTTTCTTTCATTAGTCCTGCTGCTACATTTGAATAGAACTGCTTACACTGGTTTAACTTCTTGTAGTTGTGGCCCAAATACCTTGGAGTTCAATTGATTCCAGCACCAGGACCTGCCACTGACAAGTCACAGAAAATTACTCCCCCTCTCTCCCTGCTTTCCTCCTTCCTCGGCTTCTGTTCTGGGAAAGATGCTATTTCTGTCCCAAACACTGTACTTCAGACTTCTTGCCCCAAGATGGACTTCATCTGTAGCCTTTTTGTAGCGTAGTGTCCAACGGAAGTTGACAGCTCTGTGGCCATTATCAACCAATCTCCCTCTTATTAGTAGGTATCTACTTAATTATTTACAGTGCATTACATAAGCTTAGCAATGGAACCATTGGAAAGAAAAATGTACAAAGAAAATCACTGTATTGTTATCCTTTCAGCAATAAATCTCCTGCTATGTGTACTTCAAGATAAAGAGAATACCATGAGAATCCAAAGTGCCAGGCTTATGACTTCCCAGATCACTGCCATATACGATACATCCGTGATATATATGATTTATATCATAATGTATGCAAGTTGTAAGAATTTTATATATTTAGCAGATATTTAGCACTGCAGCTATAAAGCACTGTGAGGGAGTCATGCACAGAAAGGACATGAGGTTTGCTAAAGGTACGGCTGGTTGCTTGTGCACATGAAGAGTTATTTGTGCCCGGGTGGCTGTTCACTTCAATGAGATGGGCACGTTCATGTTTCCATGAAATTAAGTGTGAAGACTTCAGAAATCTGGCTCCTAATCTATAACAAAATCTATTAATAACAGACCGTGCTAAGCACAGCTGAGTGTAGTGCAGACTGGGATGTGTAAAGAAGAGGAACTTGAACCAAACCAACAGGGTTAAAATAAGTAAGCGTGGGGGAAGGAGCGTACAGTGTAACACAGCTAAACCCAGCTGTTCTAGGCTTATGTCACTGTTGCACCTTCATCATCCGCGTTACCATTTCTTGTTTCAAGTGTCTTGTTTATCTTACTCCGCATATGTTTTGTTCTCTTTTTGTTCTTATTTGTTTTGTTGTTCCTAAAAAAAGCATGCAGATGGTATTGAAACACATACTAACACTGACTTAATTTTTCTCAATTTTCTTCAATACTCATCTTCTTTTCCCCCTCCCTATACCCTTAAAAAAAACCCAGCAACCTACAAATTTGTTAACTACCCCTACCCACCGCGTTCTGAGCAAATTTGGAAGGGCACGCTGTGTTATATTGTCAAAAAGTGACAACTAGCTATAAAGAACTATATATCTGTTTAATGATGAAAGGGTTATAATGAGAATTGATGAAATGAAATTAATGGTAATTTAAAATAATGTAGTAATTCTGATAATGGTTGAGGCAAGGTTGTAACAGTGCATTGCTGGTTTTGTACAAGCTGAAGGGGATTGATTTTTGGTGGTGGCCAAGAGGCTTTGCCTTGAGAGGCTACCATCAGTTGCACGTTTGTGGAAAAAATCTGGAGTGACAGTTGTGGAAGTGCTTAGTGGCTCAGCTAGCAGTAAGCTGAACAGTGACACTCATGACCAACTTCTGGAGCAAACTGTGGCGCAGTCATAGATGTTGTTGCAATTGCATGTGAGTGCCTTCAAGAAGCGATTGCTTCTTGGTTTCCAGGTCTTGCCACCATCAGTCACGGCAGGATAACCTAAAGCTGCGTCTCACTTTTAGAGGGGTTTTTCAGTATAAATTTAAAACTGCTCTGCTGATGCTACTACTTGAAGGTATTTTAAGCAAATCTGTTGCTTAAAAATAGATTTTAGAGCACATAGTTACTGTGATTTATCTGTAGGATAACTAGTAACTTTTTTACATGGTTCAAGGTTGAATATTCATGGCTACTTTCTAGATGCCCTGTTGTTAAGATAGTTTGAAAGACCACCAAGGCTGGGCTGCCATATGGGAGTGTCTATCACATAAGCTAGCGTTCCCAGCCCAGACAGAACCAGAGAGCTGGCAGAGATGCTTTTTTTGTATTGTTTTTTCTAACAGTTAAAAATCTCATTTTAATATAAGCCATAGCCTGAATTTTTAAAGGTTGGAATCTGCTCTGTGTTTCATTTTATTGTATCTGGTCCACTGTACATGTCAGAAATCTATAGTTAAGCAAAATCCAAAATGTACCGCTTAGCCTGGTTAACAATACACCTTCTAGCCTACTCCTTCCCAGCTCACAAAGGATGCAGAAGACTCGCAAAACTTGATATTAGGGTAGTTTAAATTAGTTCCCTCACACTGACTGTGGGCGCAATTACGACAGGTACCAGAGCATCAGGAATACGCTGGAGAACGGACGCAGGAGAAAATCAAATCGGTCGACCCAACAAAGTTTATGCCTTGTCCCAGATTTTCTAAATGTGCCTACGGTCTTTAATCTTGTATCACAGTTTGTATAGTCTGTCAGGTGAAAAACATCATCGGTAATCTTAAAAGCCATCACCCTGCAGGAAACGAGTGCTGCATCGCAGCTTACACGCTCCAAATAAGCACAGATCCTGCAGCAGAAACAGTAAAACCAAGAGACCAGCCATCCTAGGATTTAAGCTGCCTGGAGCACAAACAGGAATCGGTAGTTCAACAGAATGCGCTAGAAAATAGCGCGTTAAGTTTTCTTGAGGGTTTTTTGTTTGTTTGTTTCTCCTCCACCAGGAGTGACATCATTAAATTAAAAGTGAGTGCCAGAAGAGTTTATTTTAGACTTTTATAGGATAAACTATTTTTTAGCTAAAGAGGAAACAAAACTAAGGTTCAAATGAGAAAGAGGTTTTCTTTGTAATATAATATGATTTAGTAGAAATGATCTCTATGTGCCTTTAGATGGTTTAGCTTTTGCCCCAGAGATCAGTTCCGTTGGCAATATAAGAGCAGTCTGTAGCATTTTTATTTTTTTAAGTGAAAGTACTATACTTGGATATTTATAAAAAACACAATTACCTAATGTGAGAACTGGTCAATGTAAGGGGCAAAGGCCAGGTGGGAGTGTGAAAATGACAGAGTGAGAAAATAACCTATGGGATATTGTGGGGCGGACAGATTGTGATTAAATTCTGGCTGCTTTCAACACGTTACTGCTTGTCAGCTGCACTGCAGTAACTGACCATGTGCATGTATTAAGTCCACCCCTGTTGGAGGGTAGAACATGTTAATCTGAACTTCATGGAGTGGACTTGTGCCCTTAATCTAAATTATGTGAGTGGCAGAATTGACACGGATGTAGTATTGTGTGCTGTGCCTGTAGAGAAATAGAGGTATAGGAGCCAGATGGCACGTTCGGGTTTGTCTTGACAGGCAGCAGCAGAACAGAAAGTAAAATTGAACTCTCCTGAGCTGTTCTGGTTTCAGCTTCAAATACCATCAAAAGTGAGCAAGACTAAGTTTAAAGTGAGTTAATACTTTCACAGTTAAGTCCCAAGAATATGGAAGTGCATCTCCCAGATACATCATTCAGAACTGCGGGGCTTCCTCGCTCTGGTTATTTAGGTAGCTACAGTGAAGCATCTTGGAAAAAAAAAAATCTCCTGTCCCACACAGAAGGGTAAATGTGGCAGAATGCATGACCTTGCTGCAATATACACAGTGGGGGCCCAAATGTTTTTCTCTTACACTGATTTTGCTCCATGGATTTGCTTCAGAGTAACTTAGAGTGAAGTCTGGCTCTGTGCCTTTGTAAAATTTGTTTTAAATTCAGGAGTGATTTACTCAGAGTGCTTTCAGGGTTGGGGGGGGGGGGGCTAGTTTGTTTTGCTTTGTTTTATCTTATGCTTTCTGTTTAAATAGTTGTTGCCAGTATGAAGTTACTGGCATAACTGGCAATGAAGACATTGACAAAGATGAGACTGCAGTCAGGCTAATGCCCAGCAGCCCTGTGGTCACGGCCCCTGTTAGTGCTGGAGCTCTGTGTCCAGTCCAGCTGGGGAAAGCTGCTGCCTCTCGCTTCCTCTGGCTTTTAAATTGCACTGCTGTTATGAAATGGCACAGTCTCAGCTGATGGAAAATTTGAACAGGGGCGCGTATGTGCCTGTTTAAGTAAAGAGAGGAAGGGGTCCCATAAGCAACGTGAGGATACATAAAAGGCATATTGCAGTTTATGATGTCTGGATGCCCACCTGGAGAGGAGAAAGCTTAGGAACAAAATAAAAAGACTGAAATTCTGTTCGACTCTGAAATAAGATAAGAGTATAGTAGTGGAAGGATTTAAATGGGGAGGGCAGCTGTTATGGCCCCCAGTTGTACATATTTTATCCTGAGGCACCATTTGGTTTAATAAAATTTAGATCTAAGGCTGTCCTTAACCTATCAGTTTCTTAAGACTTAATTATAAAGGTTATACTTTCAAAGGACAAAAGCATTATTCATTTGTCTGTTCATGTCTTCCAGGTTTATCTTGCAGATTATGGACTTTCCTACAGATATTGTCCCAATGGGAACCACAAACAGTATCAGGAAAATCCTAGGAAGGGCCATAATGGGACAATAGAGTTTACCAGCGTAGATGCCCACAAGGGAGTAGGTAGGTTTCTTTTTTTTATTTCAGAGAAGTGATTACAGAATGAGTAATCAGGCTGTGTGAGCTGATGTATACAATAGAAGTTGTCTTGGGGATTGCTCAGGGTTGATCAGACCCTTGTGTGGTGACCTCTTCTTGTACCTGGGAACACTTTGCCGGGACTGGTGGAGGAAGGGGGGCAGCACAATTAAAACTGAAAGGCTGCTGCACGTATGGTACTGGAAGGCGGACCAAGACACCCTAAGAAGAGCTTGCCATTAAACTTAATTGGTTTATGTTGGGAGTACTGGTTTGTGTTTGCTATACTCTGTAGAGGCAGAGGCAATATTTGCTCATGTTGCATTGTCAAAGAAAAATGTTTCGCGTCTGCACTGTCCTTTAGGGAGAGCTGTGTCTGTGTGTCACCATCTGTGTTATGAGAGGATATTTCAAGATGACATTCCTTCTGCAAGGAGAAAAACCTTTTTTGAAGCCATAAAGTGTTAACTTTTTGAAATCTTTTTCCAGTAGCCTTTCATATATCTTACTTATTTAAACTCACTTTGATGGTATTGGAAACACATTTGCAGGTAAATTACATACATAGTCCTTTTATTGGATATTGATTGTACTGCCTTGCATTCCAAGGCAGACTTAATTCAACAATTCCCTAATTAGTTAAAGTCATAACCTATGTCTTGTATTCATTTACCATTAATTAAACCTTAGCTGTTTATTACACTGCAGTCCAAATCCAATAGCAGACCCATAGAGCCATGGAAAAGGGAATGGGAGGTCAATATCGAAAATATATGGTGCGAAGTCCCACTGATGGCTGCATTGTTCACAATCAATATGGTCAATGCAACACAACTTTCTTAGTTGCTATGTCAGCAAGACAAAAAGTCAATTCTAATGTTATGCTAGCGAAAAAAATGGTGATTATTGAAAAACTTTGACTCTTGCTACGAAACAGTGTTTTTGTTAACTTTTCTTTCCCCTATTCCCCCCCTCACCCCCAAGATCATCTAAAAATAAAGGAATGGTTTTCTGCTGCCAGCTTTGCTAGGATCATCGTGTCGCAAGTGATAACTGTAGAAATTTGTGCTTGTTAATAGCTGCTGAACTGTTACCTTAAACTAATACTTTCTAACGAGTTTTAGTTGGCACAAACAACTGTATATTATTGCTTTTTCTATTAAAAGGACCATTGACCATGTAATGTAGAGGGTCTTGATAATTTGCCGGCGCTGTTAAAACCTGCAATCGTTTAACTCTGGTCATTAGAAAAAATGAAATAGGACTGTCAAGTATTTGCTGCTAAGACAATTGCACAATTTCACCTGCTCAAAAATATTTTGCGGTGAAGAGGGCATCTGTTTCAGACTCTTCTAGCCCTCCCAAGCATACGGTGCATTTTCTGGAGATCTGACTCTGGCTGTTTTTCCTGGTAGTGTGAGCGATGTGGCTGTGCACTAGTATTTGATGTGGATGCTGTTTGAAGAATAGGTGGAAGCCGGAGTACGTGGGACTTGGCAGTTGGATAGTTACAGCAGGTAGTTTGTCTAGCGGACAGGTGTCTGTTGATGGGTACGTGATTACAGGACAGATAATTCCTTTTATCTGAAAGAGAAGGGAAAGTTTACAGACTTGGGTGGCAAAGGGTGTGCACGTGCAAGTGTGAGTTAAGTTGTTGTCTTTTGCAATCTGTGGGTTAGATTACCCCCTCAAGTAGCTAAAGCCACGATGGAATTGGTGAAAAGCAGAGGACTCCTGAAAACAAAGTATTCCGAAAGATAGCTTGAGGGACCATCTTACACTTAAAAATTTTTTGCTTGTTAATAGCTGCAAACAGAAAATCTGCCAGAAGGCCCCGCAGAACCTGATGTGATATCTGATATATTGCAGAGAATCCAAACCATTCACACTGAATGTCTCAGCTCTGACCTTGTAACAGTTGGAATCCTTTAAGATCAAATTACCAGAGGTTCCCATTGGCAGCAGGTCTCTCAACATCCCAGGGAAAATTTGCGTCTGCAGTGACTTCTGTCAGAGATTGCACGGGTCCGGATGGCAGAACACAGCGACTGGTTTCCCTCATCTCTTGTTGTGAGGTTTAGAGTTTCGGGGATGTTTCAGAATACTAAAAAACTTCCAACAGTTGGGGCAAAGGGCTTCTTTGCTCAACAATCTCCTGTACTCCCGACTCATGATGGAGTCTCAGCGCAGTCTCGTGTACCAAGTGAGGTGGGGTGCTCTTCTGGAAAGTGTTTAAAGACTGTTTCACCATTGGCAAATTAAAGCTGCATAGATAGCCTTCGTTCTGGTGTTACCCCGTTTTTCAGGGTAGAATGTTTATTTCAATGCTTTTGGAATACAGTTCCAATTTTTAAATGTTATTTTGTATAAATGAGATCACTTCCAGAGGGCATTTCCTGAGTGTATGTAGCAACATAAATATATCTCAAACCTCAAACCCCCTGAATAGTACCAGTTGCTGTATTGAGCTAGACAAATGAGAACATTTTGACTTGCTCTGCTTTTATTCCTAAAGCACCTACCTGAAGATATACAGCAGTTTGAGGTACATGCTGAAACTTGAAACAAAATTCTGAATTTGTTGCTTTCAAAAGTGCCTCTTGGCAATGCTTAAAGCTGATAACCTCCTTGCATAAAGCCAATCAAATGCAACCGCTTCCCACTAATTCAGATCAACACTGGTGTTTCCCTAGTTGAATCGAGAGATTAAGCCAGCTGCCTGCCTATTTATTCCCCAAGCTCTCTGTGGAGTTCTTCAGGTTACGCAGCCCACTGAGATCCAGAAAGTTTCCTGTCAGCGGCCACTGCATGGGAACACTTTTGCGTGGTAGAATTAGTCCATGTTCTTCTGACAGCCTCTGGTAAGGGCCGAGTTGGACCTGTAGCTCTCGTGGCAGCTGATGACGAATTGCCGCCTTCAAACAAGTTACTTCAGCGCATGCCAGTGTACACTGGCGGTGCCGGCGGCTTTGGCTTTGTGCTGGAACTGAAGAGGAATTCCCCCTGAGCTGGGAAAGGCTGGGAGCAGCTGCCCTGCCTCGTATCTCGGCTCTTCACGCCGGTTTTGTCTTCAGTTTTGCACGGCTCACCTGTGCTCTGCCCAGTGTGTGTCGGCCCCACAGGCTGGCTCTTCTGTGCTGCGGTGCTGCTTGGGGGCTTCCAGACTTGTAGCGTGTTTGCAAGCATTCACTGCAGCCTCACTTACATACCCTGTCTGTGTCTGGAGTTCACCTTGAACGAAGTCAGGGCCCAAGTTGGGCTTTGCCACAGGATCTGGCCCACACCATCAGCACTCCTGTATTTGGTGGCTGGATCTCATTGTGACCAGCATGTGGGGGTTTTTAAATTTAAACCCTTTTTATTTTGATGCAAATTTCATATGGCAGAACTGCATTGTTAGTTTTAGCGTAATATTTGAGTGTATTCATTGTATTCATTTTTAAAGACCACACTGTATAAACAGTATTACCTTTTTGTTTGTTGATTGATAATTAAAGAGAATTGTATCTGCACCCAGTGTACATTTAAAAAATAGTTACATAGTTAGTGTTAAAAAGTAATATTTGGATCAATGCCTCCTATGGATTTTTGTAGATTTTCTACTCACTGAGGCACGCAGTCAATACCTAATTTCTCTGGAGATATACTGCGCTTAACATATTGAGTTTTTTTTAAATACTCCAGTCCTGTGCATTGAGTACGTAAGACCAGTTTTAATTTGCTATCATTGATGAACATGAGTATGAACTGTCTGTGTTGAATTCCCTCCAGCAGGTATTTGTGTTTGCCATAGCTTTCAAGATGACTGTCCTCCTCCTTTTAATGTTTCACAGTAACTATTAGCAGTTTTGCCATCTCTCGCATTGGGCAGAGGGCCTGCTAAAATCCTCGCAGGACTTATATCTACTTCTGGAATAGTAAAAGCTGCTTAAGACAGCAGCGATGACTTTTGACAAGCGTAAGGATAAGTAGAATGGCTGATGACGTTTGCCTCAATTAGGTCCACAGGTTGTCACTTTTCTGTAGCTGGTGAATATGGTTTGTCTGAGCTGGTTTCATCGAGCAAAAGTGTGTTTGTTTATTTTCATCTGCTGTGTTGGGGAAGGCGGCTGCAGCTGTGTTTGATGCCAGATTTTAGCCAGTTCTTTGTGCCCCTCATACTGGGTTATTGCAACACGTGCTCCTTGAGGTCCGTCCAAATGCTGGTACACGTGTTTGTACAGGGCAACGCAGGCGTCGCGCTGATTGTAGGGAAAGCTCTGCAGTTCTTGTTCTTATTTTCCCTACTGGTCTGACAGAACCGTTGCTGTTTGATATTAAAAACGTAGCTCGACACTTGTCCATTTTCCCTTTTCTTTTACGTGTAGGGGTTGACTGGAATATATGCAGGGTTCATTTTGCGAGGAAGGATGTGCAAGAATAAACACCTATGCCTGGAAACATATTCTTTCTGAGCCTGCGTGGCTTCCAGAGAACAGAGCTCTAAATGGCTCTGGATCAAGAGGTTTATTTGGCATCTGTCCATGTATAGTTAGGAGTCAGAGGGAGCCTGCTGGATTTTTTTGTCGGTTAAATGAATTATTGATTTGCTGCAGTTTGGTATGTGTTTCCCAAAGACTGTGTGCAGGACAAACTGTAAATCCTAAAAATAAAAGGAAAATATAACCGGTCTGGCGAAAAATGGGTGGAATTTTGCAGTGTGAAATAAATAAAAAGATGTTTTCGTTTCTGAGTGTTGGATTAGAAATGTGTGCCCAGCAGAAGAGGGAGCATTTGTAGGAGGTCATTGTAAGCGAAAAAAGAGTCAGGCTTTAGCAAGGAGAAGATTGAATAGGTTCCTGTAACCACCTCTGTAAGCTTATTCTGTCCTGCCAAGAATGTCCAGAAGCAGCAAAATAAGATGATGAGCATCACAACTTTCTAGCACGACTGATGAGTGTGGCTGGGAATTGGCTGTTCAATTTTGGCTCTCGTTCTCTACACCA